CTTCTTTTAGTATTTGGAAGCCAACCTGGTTTTATGAAGACGTACAGGATAAAAATGTTCATTTAATAAATGTATGCACTACAAAGAAGCTAAAACAGGAACAATTGGAAACAGAGGCACCAAAATGGCAGTTTAAACATCTGAAAACCTCTCTCTCTGGATCCCTTCTTAGGGCCAAAATAGATATGATGATAGGAGATTTGTTATGGATCTTTCCAAACATTTTAACAAAACTAACTGCCCTACAGGGCCCCAGTATGAACAGGCCACCTTGTGCAGGAGGAGGTTTTAACCCCATGCTGCTTAGCCCTGAAAAGGAAATAAAAAAGTAAGCCTTTGCCTTTCCCCTTTCCATGACTCACGTGGGGAAGTTTAAAGATCAAACCCATGTGGGGAAGGGTTGCCAACTCTGGGTTGGGAAATTCCTAGAGATTTGGGGGTGGAGCCTGCAGAGGGTGGGGTTTACGGAGGGGAAGGACCTCAGTGGAGTACAATGCCGTAGAGTCCACCCTCCAAAGCATCCATTTTTCCCAGGGGAACTGATCTCTGTAGTCTGGAGATCAACTGTAATTCCAGGAAATCTCCAGGCCCCTCCTGGCGATTGGCAACCCTAATTGTGGGCCTGGAAGAGTTAAACTCCTCCCTCTTCACCGTGTCTTAGTTAAAACTGTAGCTTCGCCTGACAGCTATTTCCTCTTTAAAAATTGTTGGGATGTTCAGAACACTGATCTGCCAGTGTCTTACCTATCTGGGCCTGTCATGGACCGAGAATAAATTGAGGAAGTTCCCTGAACAACTGACAGGCTGAGAAAACACCAGAGCCTTGCCTGTAACAGCTGTAGTGCTAAGAGATGACTAAGGAAGTAAACAGCTGATTGGTTTGTACAGCACTTGTTATTACTGAATGTGGGACAAGCCAAATTGTTTTATTGGTTATCATGAAGGGGGGGATGGGAAGGCAACAGAGTGGAACGACACGAAACATCCATATTTGAAATTCAGATTTTGCCATTATTTGACTTCCAAATTCCAAACTCAAAACATTTTACCTCAGATGTCTACCTTCACTGATGGAAAAACTGGGCTATTTGGAGAAGGGCTGGGGGGGGGGGGGAACCCCTCCAATGAAGTATTTTCTCTTTTTGAGTGAGAAAAGACTTGTTTTACTCATCCCAAATACACAGCAGGAAAAAGTCTGAGGACTTAACCCTCTAATAAGGTAGACATGTTAGACAATATTGGCAAGATTTTGTTGTTGTCATATGAACAGGTTATGTGCTATCACATTTTGGGCCATATGGGCATTTCCTCTCTGGTCATTTTGTCCCAGTTATCCTTATCTCAAGCCCTTATTGCCCTTTACGAGCTCCCAATCCCCATCCTTCCTTGGCCTGCTACCTTTTGAGACCCCTACCTCTTTTCCCCAGCCCCTCCTACCTGCTCTGCACCTCTGTGGGATGATCGGAGATGCTCAGCCAATAAAACTCTTCCGCCTGCTTCACCTCTCCATTACCTCAGGCAGCTCAGCCAATCACTGACAGGCTTTGTTACTTTTACAAATACAAAATCCCTTTATGCAGTAAAATAATTTTCTTTTTGGTCAGTCGGTTGTAGGGACTTCCTGGTGCGTGCTTTTAATGTGATGAACACTTTGATAAGCTTTTTTCTTTCTTTATGTCATAGGACACCTCATATATTTGAAGGGAGCTTTGACTCGTGAAACTCATACCCTGAAAATCTTCTTGGTCTCTAAGGTGCTACTGGAATCAAATCTAGCATTCATTCCAGAGGAACTGATCTCTGTAGTCTGGAGATCATTTGCAATTCCAGGAGAACCCCAAGAGCTCACCTGGAGCCTGGCAACCCTACAATTGAGCCATGGTCCCCCCCGCCCATACCATACTGTTTATGGATACAAAATGGCGACAGTATTCTTTTTCAGACATTTGATTTTGGTGCAGTGCCAAAATCAAATTCTGATTTGGACTCGTATCCTTTGGTATCTCTATGGCGCAAACCCTACATATTTTCCATCAGAAGTGCGAAAACAGTTCATTTGTAGGCTAAAGTTGCCAGTTAGTGCTGCAGCAGTGTGTGATTGCCGTCTTTTTGTTTTGTTTTCTGTCCATATGGAATCACTTACACAGATTCACTCAGAAGGGAAGATGCTTCCACCCCCCCTCACTCAGATATTTAATGGTGTGGAGCCCACAGTAGTGGGCTGAAACTTCCAGAACCCTCGTGGATATATGAACAACCTTTGAAGAAGATATATGACTAATATCACCTGGAAGGCGTAAACTGGGACTGCCCCTGGTAAATATGGGCAGTTAGAACATATGAACCTAGAAATGAATACGATTAAGTAAGTAAAAGAAATACAAGCAGTTCCTTTACAAGGTGTGGTAATCTGACAAACTGCAGTCGGAAGCCCAGAGGTGCTAGAATTATGAGATCTTAAGTGTCCTGAGACTACAGTACCTGTGACAATTTGGCTTGTTTTGTTTTTATGTTAAGACCTTTGTGCGTCTGGAGGCTTGGGGAAAATAAAACCTCAACTTTCTCTTAGAAGCACACTGAGAAATATAACAATAATAATAATATTGCCCAGGCCACTGCAAAGCATATCTTTTTGCAAAAGTAATTTCTCCATTCAGATATATTCAGGTGAAGGAAACTTTCAGCTTTTTTTCCCCTTAAGAAATACAAAATTAGTAAGAACGTTTGTTTTTTCACTGCTTTTGCCAACTAAACAAAAAGAAAAGTATTACAAATATGCCATCATCACCAGACCCCCCTCCCCCACTGAACTTGACTTTTAAACAGATCAAGTTGGGTTTTGTGGTTTTTTTTGCAATTTTAGACATTTTACAGTATTTTGACATTTTTAAAGAGTTGCACCAAAATACAGAAAATACAGTCGTTTCCACTGAATTAGCACAAACTTTTTTTTAGTTTAGTTGTTCCCTCAGTACCCTTCCAACCTCAAAGGCAGGGGATTGAAAAGATGCCCCAAGATGAAATAAATATTACTTTAAAGGAACAATATTCTTTAAGTAGAAAGTACTGCATGCACAGCCTTCCATTCCAACCCCCAAAACAAAGAAGAAACCAACCCAATGTAAACCTTTTGACACCAAGCAATATAACCGGAAGCATCTAACTTTTTAGTTTTCCTGCAGAAGCTGGAACTCTGTGCTAAGCTGCCTTGTTGTTTCGATGCTCGTTTCCTTTTTACGTACATCAAGCAGAGGGTCTGTGTCCGCAGCTCCAGAAAAATGCAGCAAGCAAATCGAACGATTCCCAGCTAAACCATCACCACAAGTAACAACAAAAATATTAAGCACCAGATTTTTGTCAGAAATGAGTCAGTGATAGGTTATTTCCATTCAGAGCTTCAACCCCACCCCCTTCAGGTTTGTTTTCCTTTTCTTTTCTTTAAAGCAGAGAAAAATAAACAAATCACCCAATGCCATATGATCATTTTAAGGCTCCAACCAAACAATATGCACCGTTACAAATTCAATTCCTGCATCCCTATAGACAGCCTTAAAATGATGCCTGCAGATCAGAGCCCAGTTACCAGTGAAAGCTTAAGAGATCTGTGCCTTTAAATTGACGTTCTTTTTGCTACTATGCTGAGTTTTATTAAGACTGAGAAGTTAGGGTTGGGGGCAGGAAGGGGTATCAGTTACGGAACTTAAATGTTGTTCTCTTTAAGTTCTTAATTATTATTATTTTTTGGTATGCCGTTTAAAATTTAGAGGCTCTCTTAAAATTTGGATCCAGAAATTCAGGCAGACAGGTTTTTGTTCTCAAGGTTATGTTATCCCCATCACAAGCCATGGCACAGCTGGAAGATATTTAAGACCAGCTTCTGATTCAGTGATCTCCTACAGGCACAGATCCCAGTGTGCCACTGCAATGGGTTCCCCATTCAGTTCAATGGAAGAAACAGATCTCTATGTGTGACCCAAGGATCAGTTTCCTCCATTTGAATGAACAGTGCTGTGCTCCAAAGACATTGCTGTGCACATTTGAGGCCTTGCCAATCTCTCGGTCAGGGCACATGGGCACAAGTCAAAAAGCTACATTTTCCTTGGCTTGGAAACAAATGGGACTGCACCCTGAGATTCTATGGTGAATTTGACTCAAGCTTAGTACTCATAAAGAGTCACCTGTTTTTCTGCATCAAGGAACTGTATTATAAAATCTGTAGCACTTACAATACAGTTCAGACTGGCTTGTGGAATCAGAAGATAAATATAGTATATTAGAATAATCAGTTTGCCAAATTATAATGCAGCCATGATCTCTTTTCAAGCTGTTTGGTCTTTTATCTGGCCCAAAGTAATCATTTTATGCCAATCTAATCAGAGCAGTTAGATTCCTTTTCATCTGTTGCTTTTTTGTCTAGTTTCATATTTTAAATATATATTTTATATATTATATATATTTATATATATATAGATTTCTGTCTTTAAAATCACAAAAGAGTTTTGCATGAGGGAGGTGACAGTACGTAATGAAACTCAGCACCTAAGGGCATAAGGCAGTTGTAGGTTTTTTTGTTTGTTTGTTTTATTTTTTATTATTAGTAATATTATTATTATTTTCAATCAGCACCAATCCCTATGATAATGTCCTACACTTGGTGTAAGGTATAAAACTCAGAGGTGGAGCCGTTTTTCCAACCCCCGAAGCATGGAAGTTTGAAATACTACTTGGGGTTTTTTTTCTCCTGTGTGTAAAAATCAAAAGGAAAGTTTTCTTTTTGTTTTTACTTACAAAACATAGAGGATCTTTCTTTCTTTTTTTTAAATACATACAGCAACCAGAAAGAAAACTTATTGGAAGGTTAGTTTCATGAGCTGTGTTGACCGTAAACAATTAACCCACCCACCCCTTCCCAGCCCCAAATCCCCTCTTTTATTTTTTTGTCATTTGTGAGAGTGCGTGTATGTGTGTGTGTGTGTATGTGTGTGGGTTTAAAGGAGCTTTTAAAGTGAAGATTCATACTGTAGCAATTCATACAAGAGAGGTCCATCTCTATATCTAATTCCTACAGCGGTGGGGGTGACATACTGGAGAATGTTTATAGTCCTTCTCAACCTCCTGTCTACAAAATGAGCGTCCCAAGCTGGGTACCTCTTTCTTGGGATATCTATCTTAATGAGCGGGCCGTCAGGGTGGTAGGGTCGCCCAGATGGAGTTGATGGCACCATTGCTCTCACTTGGAAAACTGGCAGGCAAGTGTCAGCCGTGAGTTCCTCCTGTTGCTCCGTGGCCGCTCTGGTCGGCGTAGCCTGGGCCGCCCGGTACCCAGGGGTTTGGGGAGCCATGGGTTCAACATCAGGGGGCAAAGGAATGCCCCAGAGCAGCTCGGCGCAACAGGAGCTGGCAAAAATCTTAGCTCTTGGCCCCATGGGATGCAGGACGCCGTAATATAAGAGCATCAGTGCTATCCCGGCAGCGAAGCTAAGAAAGACGCAACAAAGCGCTGGCACAGCGAATGAGTCAGTGGTGTCGGGATCTCTGTAACAATACCAAAGGAGCGTCAAGGCAGCATTCTCTGTCAAGACTACGGTGTAATAGGCAAACATTCGGTATCGAGTCCGCCCTTCCTTGACATTAAACCAGCAAAAAATGTACACGATCCCTACCACCATGTTGAAGAGAATCTCCTCCCATTTAGACATGCAGAAGTCTGTCCCGCCATGGATGATCCAGAAGGCCATGGCGCACCAGTGGACCACGACAAAGATCCCAAAATAGAGCTGGAAGATGGAAGCAAAGAGGGCAAAAGAGATAACTCTGGATGAGATGGTGAAGAGGCGCCAGAAGAGGTGGATAAGGGCCCCTCTGTAGCTCATGCTCTTCTTGTCATCCCTAGAGTCCCGGAGAAGCTTGTGATAGGAGGCTAGCACCCAAGCCAGGGACATCAGGGAGGCCACAGAGGAAACACCTGCCGGAAGAACACACACAAATCCACAGAGTTAAATGGGAGATCATCCAGGGAGGGGGCAGCTGTGGAGCATGTTTACAATGCAGGTCAGGTTAGCGAAAAAGATCTAGAGGAAGAGAGAAAAAATAAGTGGAAGTGTCATTCCTTAAATTTCTAAGCTGAACACAAGCATGCTGTAATACATCTAGACCACTGTACTTGGCCGATGCTATCACCTAGAGAAGCAACAAGTGTCATTTTGTCCATGACTGGTGATGATTTATGAGGAAGCTCGTTGCCTATTGGCAGTACTTAATAGGAATTCAACACAACTACTCAGTAACATAACAAGAACTCCACTAGATCAGACCAAGACTCATCTAGTTCAGCATTTTGTTTCCTGCAGTGGCCAACCACATGCCCCAGATCACATTGTCTATGGGAAGACAACAGTAAAGCCCACGAGCCTTATCCAACTTGCCAAGACTTCCCCCCCCAAGCCCAAACTGTTGCCAATATGACCATTTAACTTCATGTTGGCCTTTCTGGATGGTACTCTAATGGAATACAAAACTTTAATGGTTATGTTAATAGGGCCACAGGCCTTCTGTCACCTGCCTCTGATCTATTATGCATCCTTCTAACTCAGCGATCCCTGGATTATGGTATCTAACAATGGGCTTCCTAGAGCTCCTTGCCCAAAGCAAAGAGTCAGCTCTGGCTTTTCTCCTCCTTGTTGGAGGAAGAGGTACTTCAGAAGAACCCAGGAGGGTTCTTTATGCATGCAGGGAGCATCCATTCAGCCACAGCACTCTCCATTTTAGGATAGATTTGCCAGGTTCTTACAGTCTGCCAGTGGAGAGCTCCATGCTGCTCCCTGGGATTATCTTGCGCATGCACAAAGCTTGCACTCCGCAATGACATCACCCAGAACTGACATCATCATGCTGGGCACATCATGCAGGGGCACTCTAGCATTTGGCCAAAAATTCTACGGTCACCATAGAGTTTTTAGTCAAATGCTAGAGCATCCCTCGCGTGACGTGCCTGGTGGGGCTCTACCGGGGTGGGGCTCGCTGGGGGTGGGACTCCCCTGCTGGCCAGTGGCAGATTGGGCCCCCCGAAATCAGAGGAAACCCCGTGCCCATCAAGGAGATGGTAACCCTATTTTAGGAGAATGCTTACCTTGCAATATCTCAACATTCTGTGATTGGCTTCTGCAACCTGCTGCCATCTGGTAGATGTTTCTTTGTTTCTATTTATTGATCTGTTTCTGAATTGTTTTAATGTTGTTTTAAACTAAAGATTTTTGTTATCACTCTGTTGTAATCGGCCCTGAGCCCTACCTGTAGGAAGGGCAGCCTAGCAAATCTAATTTAATAAATAAATAAATAATAAACCTATGGCATCCACTTTGTGATTGCTTCCTCTGGCAGCCATTTTGTGGTGGCACGTACTCCTGGTCCTCAAAATTCCAAAAGTGCCCACAGGCTTAAGGGGTGGTTCGACCCCTATTCTAACTCACATCAATAAAACATTGCTTGAAGGGGGAGATAAACATAGGCTTCACTTTTTCAAGGAGATATGTGTGATGTGTTTATGATTAGTGTATGAAGCGGTAGAGTGTATCGATGAGTTGGATCCAAGCTAAATTTTCCACCAGTAGAATAGAAGCTTCCTGCTTTCCACTCCTTACTGAAGTCCCCTGATTTCTAGGGACAGGGGATCTTGAGGAATGACATATGAGGAGTCTACAACAGGAAGGGGGAATGAGATGTAATTGCCAGTTTAATTTGGGTCCAACCCTCTGTGTGTATATAATTGAAAGATTATTATATGTTTGTGTGCGCGAGCACACGTGTTGCCTCCAGGCATCCTCAAGACATTTATAAGGTGGTAATAATAAGGGTAATGTGAAAAAAGTATGGATAATAATGAGCACCAATGATATTGTCTGGGGCTAAAGCTGGGAGTTGTCTTACAGGAGACTGAGTATATTCAGGCCTCAGAGGTCTCCTCAGGCCATTACTTGGCCAATAGTACAGCACAAGCTACCTGTCTCAGGGTCTCTGAACTAGAACCCTCTGTTAGGGTTGCCAACCTCCAAGTAGCACCTGGATGTCTCTTGCTATTACAACTGATCTACAGATGACCAAGATCAGTTTTCCTAGAGAAAATGGCTGCTTTGGAAGGTGAACTCTATGGCATTATATCCTGCTGAGGTCCCTCCCCTCTCCAAACCCTGCCTTCCCCAAGTTCCACTCCCAAAATCTCCGGGTATTTCCCAACCCAGAGCTGGCAACCCTACTCTATCAAGGTTTGCATATGACCACCCATATCTTGTCCCTGTCAAGTATTTCTTGAAAAGCTCGATGAATAATGTGCATCTGGAAACCAAGTTCTGGATCAATTTTTGAACTTTTGGCATTTCCTTTTCCAAACTGTATTTTCAGTTTTTTATACTGTTATTGGATCCAATTTCCCAGCATGATTCAGACCACAGTTAAGGAATTTTAATTTTGGTTTGGTGTGGTATGTTGAACTAGACAATATGGCATCTGCAGGGGTGTTGCCATTTTACGGATAGAATTCCTTCACTTTACAGACACTATGAGGACCCAGTCTTGCTTGAGACCATGTTTGTAAAGTGAGGGAACTCTAGCAGTAAAATGATGGTTACGTCCCCGGGGCCACCATGTGGTCTAGTTTGTCCCTAAGTAAACCAGAATCCCAATCCAGAGTGTGAATTGGGTTTGTGCTAGCCATAAGAACAAAAGAGAAGCCAATATGGGATCATCCAGTCCAACACTCTGTCACACAGTGGCCAAAAATACCAGGTGCCATCAGGAAGTCCAGCAGTGAGGCTAGGACACTAGAAACCCTCCCACTGTTGCCCCTCCCCAAGCACCAAGAATACAGGGCATCACTTGCCCCAGACCGAGAGTTCCTATCTATACCCAATGGGCTGGACCCCGTGATTGCACATGCAGAAGGCATGTGTGATGGTGGATTTGTGTCCACCTTCCCTTTTTCTACAGCAACGTGCTGTGATCCCCCAAAGACATGACATCCATGTAGAAAAAACAAACACCAAAAAGCCATGAGAAGGGCTGCAGTCAGCAGAGGCAATTGCTTGCCTGTTACACATTTGGAAGTTTCAACCAAATGTTTATATATAACACATTTCACACATTACTTTACCAGTTCTCATTACAATAGTCCTGTAAGGTAAACTAGGAGAGGGGTAGTCAAACTGCGGCTCAGGAGCTACATGCAGCTCTTTCACACATATTGTGTGGCTTCTGGCAGGGTGGCTGGGGAAGCAAAGAGGCATGCCTCCCTGATCGGTCTTCTCTTCCCCAGCCAGTGTTCCCCTCCCAGGGTAGGCTTGAGGTATGGGGGGGGGGGAGAAGAGAAAGAAAGCAACTTTAACTTTAAATGCATTCTCAAAGCTCCCCCCCCCCACCAGCTGGCTTGGAGAAGGCATTTGCTTGTTTAAATCCCTTCTCCAAGCCAGCCAGTGTAGGGGCATGAAGGGCCTTGGAGGACGCATTTAAAGTTAAAGTTGCTTTGTTTCCATCTCTCTCTCCCTCCCTCCCTCCCTCCCTCCATTTGCTTTCTTTCCATCTTTCTTTCACTTTCTCTCTCTTTCTCCCCTCCCTCCTCATCTAAAGTTAAATATGTTTCCCACGCCGCGAAAATATTTAAAGTTAAAGTTGCTTTCTTTCCACCTCTCTCTCTCTCTCTCTCTCTCTCTCTCTCTCTCTCTCTCTTCTGCTTCTTTCCTCCCTCTCCCATCTATTTGCTTTCTTTCCACCCCTTTCTTTCTTTCTTCCTTCCTTCCTCCCACTCCCTCCCCCATCTATTTGCTTTCTTTGTTTTTTCTCTCTCTTTCCCCCTTCCTCCCTCCCTTCCCCATCTATTTGCTTTCTTTCCATCTTCCTTCCTTTCTTCCCCCTCCCTCCCCGTCTATTTGCTTTCCTTGTTTCCCTCTCTCTCTTTCCAACTCTTTCATTCTTTCTTTCCACCCCCCCCTCTCTCTCTCTCAGACAAATAACTACCATTAGCAAACAAATATCATTGGACAAATAAATATCAATATCAATTTTTACCCCTTTTGTTTTTATTTTTGGCAGTCTCATTTAATGTTAATAAAAAGCAAATTTGCAAAATTTTCAGTGAAAATGTGTGTGTAATATTTGTTCATGTCCTGAGGCTCTCAAACATCTGATGTTCGTTCTATGTGGCTCTTACATTAAGCAAATTTGGCCACCCCTGGACTAGTATTATCCCTACTCTGCACAGGAGGGAGGAACTGGGGCTGAGAGACTGGCTCACTTAAGACTACCTATTGTTAAGCTGTGTACTGTGTATAGTTCTGTTTGGCATATCTCAAAAAGGATATTGCAGAGCTGGTGAAAGTGTAGAAGAGGGCAACCAGAACAATTAAAGGGTTTGAGCACGTTTCCTGTGAGTAAAGGCCTCAGAGTCTGGGACTTCACAATTTTAAGAAAAAAATGAGTGCAGTGTGACATGAAAGAGGTTCATATAATTATGCATGGAGAGGAGAAAGTGGGTAGAGAAAACTTTTTCTCCCTTCTCCACAATACTCTGGGGCATCTAATGAAACTGATGAGTGATAGATTCAGGATGGACAAAAGGGAATATTTATTCACTCAAAGAATTATCATGGAATTCACTACCAGTGGAGGTAGTGCTAGCCACTAGCATAGCTGGCTGTTGTGGTAAGAAAATTTAGAAATATAGGTGGTTTGGGTTTAAAATGAACCAAACAGTTTATGCAATCCATATATATCTGTCTTTGCCCTTGCAGGCAGACAGCCTTGGCCTGTTTGAATCAGACCCCATGAGTCTTTGCAAGCCTTTTTTGTCCCAGGAGGATCTCTTTCTTGGTCACACACGCAAAAATGTAACACATTCCATTCCCAGCCACAGATGTGAGACTTGCCAATATCCCCAATTTCCTAGGCCATAAAATATATGATCATTTGGGAAGGTGGCAGACTTCAATCCATAAGACTAACTTCCTGAGATACAGAGGGTTCACACACACACCCTGCTTTCATCTCTCTGATAACATCAAAGGACAGTTCATTTCCCACATTGGGGAACACCTGGAAGAAACAATGACACTGTATTGATCCTGTAAAATGTGTACACTTTTGTTGTGTGAGACCAAGGAAAGGAAACAAATTTCCTGCAGGACAGTTTCAACTTCTATGAAACAATTTACAGTAGGCAATTTCCACTTGTAAATGGTAACTGTAATATGATTATCAAGGGACCCCTTTGATCTTTGGTATAAATACTGGTCAGTTACAACAGATCCCTGCTGACTCCCGTTAGGAGTCAGTCAGAGAGGCCTCTCGTCCGCGCATGCATGGGGTGAGGGAAACTTTGCTGCATGTTTATTTTTCTGTGTATTCCATCAATGTTTAGGAAATAGGATTCTACTGTGTGGCAGGCTGGCACAGCGTCTTGCGGTCATCTTGCCAGACAAATCTCTGAAGGTTTTTCTATAATAAAGATAAGTTTTATTTTAAGAAGAGACCTTTGAATGTATCTGCCAGAGCCTTAGTGATTTCCAAGCTTACACCACTGCCTTGGGGTAAGGAGGCATCACTCAGGAGACACACGAACCAGAGGGGGGAGAGTGTGGGTGGCATGGGTAAACACACTTTCACAAACACATGCAGCCATCCACATTTCTCTGCCAACAGCTGTAAAGGGGATTAGACAGCTGCATTGAGGATAAGTCCATCAGTGACTATTAGCCATGGTGACTTAACTGAACCTCCACAACCAGAGGCAGTACACCTCTGAATACCAGTGTTAGGAGGCAACATCAGGGGAAGACTTTGGCCTGTTTGTTGACTCTCCAGGGTAACTGGTTGGCCACTTTGAAATAGGTTGCTGGACTAGATGGACTGCTGGCAAGGCCGGCCCAAGGTGTTTCTGTGCCCTAGGCGAGCACAGATGCCAACCTCCCGGTGGGGCCTGGAGACCTCCCAGCTGGTGTGCGGCGCCTCGGGGCGAAGCTTGGCTTTGCCGTGGCGCTTCCCTGCGTCGCGCCCCTTCTCCCCCAGCTCCCGGCTCCTCTCTGGCCTGGCAGCGAAGGCTCGCCGTCCTCCTCGCCCCGGGGGGGGGGTTCCGGAGAGCGCATGCGTGAGTCCCATTTCTTCTGGGGAAAGGCTGCTGCTGCTTGGCAAGACCGGGGCAGCCTCTCCGAGGCCAGGCAAGAGGTTGACTCCGAGGCCCCCCTCCCAGTGCCGCCTCCCACTTCCCCCAAGGAGCAAAGCATGCACGGAGGATGGGGGGGCGCGATATGGAGATGCAGCCCCTTTGCCGGCCAGGCTGTTGGCACCTGGGGTTTTTCATGCCGCAGAAGGGCACCGCCAGGAGGTCACTGCGCCGAAGGGCCCCTCTTTCCCGCTGCGCCTCCCGCAAAGGCCCACCCCCTTCTCGTGCTCCCGGTCTCTGGGAGTTCTGTGTTTTCTCCTGCTCCTTTATGCACCTTTGCAAATCCAAAGCTCAGAACAATAGAAAAGCTGCCGGGAGAGAACGTGGTCTCGCGCCACTGCGCCCCCGGGGCTGGGACCATTCTGCAGCGGCTTGCTCTGCCACAGGGGTCACTCAAGGAGCAGGGCTTTTGGCGGGGGCTGGGGGGCTTTGGCGGGTGGGCGGGCCCAGTTTGGCACCCTAAGGTCCAGCCCGCGCTCTAGGCGAATGCCTAGTTTGCCTAGCGGGTGAGCCGGCCCTGACTGCTGGTCTGATCCTTTACATGTTCTTACCTAGTGAGTTCATGGCAGAGGCAAGATTCAAATTGGGGACCCCCTGGTTCACTCTTAGCCATGCTGCACCAGTTTCCTAGATTGTAACCATAGTTCGGCATGAAATCTGAACTGAGCCAGTGTCTTCTTTGGAACGTCAGAGGTATATTGTTGCTCTTTAGCAGATCCTCGTACTGTTTTATCATTTTCTAGTTCTTGTTTGAAGCATTCTGCCCTCCCTGCAAGGCACAGACTGAAGGGGGGGGATGGGAGATGTTTGTGTATTCCCTAACAACAAATTATGGCTCTCACCCTGACAACCTTCTTTCCAGGACCAGTCAAGCTTATACCAAGTGGAGAGAGCCCTGGGAAAAGGGTGAATGGGAATTTACTGAGAGATTTCAGAGGCAAGAGCAGAACGAACTTTGCTCCAAAGAGGGTAGCATTTCCTAGACCGTAGGGAACAAATCTCAGCCTTGGTGGTATGTTCTAGGCCATGGGGATGAATCAAGGGAAGCCATCAATGCACGCAGGAAAGCAAACAGGCTGAGCTGAGGTCACTTACATGGTAAGGTTTCTGCACGGTTCTTTTGGATCATTATGCAGAGCTGTAGCACCAATTGGGGGGCGCTCTCCAGGAAAGTCTCCAAGAGGCGTAGCATGTTGACGTCTGCATACTCGTACATCATAGCCCAATAGAAGCGCCGCTGGTGTTCCTTTTGCCTCTGGCTCTGGATCCCCAGGTACATGGTTCGGATATACCTGGAAAGAAGGGAAAAAAGACAGGGAGATGGTGAGCTGATGACAGGGCTGGGTTAAAAGATACTCATTCCTCTCTATCAGTCCTGAGGTTGGTATGCTGGTCAAATTTACGAGTAAATTAACTACATTTTGTAGTGATCCCCAACATGCCTGCCAATATTTCCCTGGAGCCCACTTGCTTCCTACCAAAAGCATCCTTTTCCTAAAGCAAAGGACCAATCTTGGCTTTCCTTCTCTTCCCTGGAGCAGGAGGTTCTTCAGAAGGCCCTAGGAGGCATTGCCTTTGGGTCTGCAGGGAGCACCCATGAGGATATAGCTGCTTGGTTTGGAACCTCCCAACATTTTGCACTTGGGCCCCAGGGCTGGCTGTATGCTTTGAGGGGCCCTGTCTGCCCACCTCCTCCCCACATACCTTTCTGCCCTACCTGTGTGCTCCCCCCACCTTCTCCCACTCGTAAGCCCTCCTACTGCCCACAAGCAGTCTGCACCACCTGCACACCCTTTCCCCAGAAGCACTGGTCAGTGCATGCAGCTGGGGGTGCTGCTGGTGGCCACTGCCTCTGTGCACCAGATGCCTTTCCCTAATGATGCTGGCAGATGGGACCATGGATGGCAGTGCACTTCAAGCAGACAGATGGGGAAGGGCATGCAGGCAGGTAGCAGGAGAGATGCGTGGGCGGAGGTGAGCAGCAGAGGGCTCCACCTCCTGGCAGCTGCCCCGTCGGAGGGTATGCGGATGCCGGCCTGGCTTGCCCCTTCCCCTGGCAGCCATTTTTTCATTGGTCCCGCCTCCTTTGGCAGTCATTTTGTGGTGGCACCTACAACCCTTTCTCAAAATGCCGAAAGAGCCCATAGGCTCAACAAGTTTGGGCCTGGCCTATTATTTGATCACAGGTACTCAATGAAGCCACGAATGCTGCTGTATAGGTGGCCGCTAACTTTTTAATTTCATTATCGTTTCATTTGTTAGCAAGGACGGGACTAGTGGCAAGCAGTGCTCATCCTGTTGGCCCTCTGCTCGAATGGCAGACGTCTCTCAATCCTAGGGTTGCCAGGTCCTCCCTGGCCACTGGTGGGGGTGGGGAGTAGGGTTGCCAGATCCAGGTTGGGAAACTCCTGGAGATTAGGGGGTGGAGCCTAGGGAGGACAGAGGCCTCAGTGGGGTACAGTGCCACAGACTCCTCCCTCCAAAGCATTCATTTTCTCCAGAGGAGCTGATCTTTGTAGTCTGGAGATGAGCTGTGATCCCAGGGCGTCCCCAGGTCCCACCTGGAGGCTGGCATCCCTACTTAATCAGAACAAGAACACAAGCAGCCCTCAGTGAAACTGGTCACTGCCTAATTTGAAAATTCACTGCAATTATTTAAAAATTAATTTCATTGTTTCTCTATAACAAATTCTTTTTTGCAGTCACCTAAGTTAACGGGGCAAATGACCATTAAAGTGTCGTATCTGTTATTCAAATAATGTTAATTTAAATATATATATATTATTTGACCAGAGAATGGACTGCATTTTTTTTGGTGGGTCAGATACTCAATTCTAATCAATTTATTGCTTCCTCAGTCCCTTTGATTGTTGGATTCTCTGGACTTGGTACTGCCAGGGAACCACGACAAAGTAGCAGAATGCTCAAGTCTTCTTTAACGCAGCAGAGCTGGGACTAGGTATGGCAGCAAGCAAGGATACATGGAGTCAACAATCAGATCTTAACACTAACAAACAACTTTTATTAAAGGAAATACATACTGGAGAGTGCAGGTAAGAGATGGGGATAGATTACCTATTCTATCTGGCTAGATGTGTTGGATACTGGATACATGTCCAGCCTCCATGGTGCAAGATGAAGAGATCATGCACCCTGTTTGTGTTAGAGAGAAGTGTGAGAGAGTGGAAACAGAGGAAATTGCCCCTAAGGGTATTATTCTACTTCAAAGGAAAGGATCAGATAGCAGGCAGGCAGGAAGGAAGGAAGGAAGAGGAGGAGGAGGAGGAGATTGGATGTATACCCCACCTTTCCGCCCTTCACTACCTGAGGGAGTCTCAAAATGGCTTACAATCTCCTTTCCCTTCCCCTCCCCACAACAGACACCCTGTGAGGTAGGTGGGGCTGAGAGAGCTCTTTCGAGAACTGCTCTTTCGAGAACAGCTCTGAAAGAACTTGTAACTGACCCAAGGTCACACCAGCAGCTGCATGTGGAGGAGTGGGGAATCAAACCTGGTCCCCCAGATTAGAGTCTGTGCTCCTAACCACAACACTGGCTCTCTATGTGTCCTGACCTCTCTGTCTGTCTAAACTCCTTGGTGTCATCTCCCAAGTCTGAGGCAGGAGACAGCTCCAAAGTCCTCCACTTCCAACACCGACAAGAATAAAACATTCCTTTGCCCATTTAATATGGTTCCCTGCATACCCTCAGTACCTATCACATTTTTCTGTTTGGAAATTCTTTCTCATTACAGGCTCCCACTGTCCCTGTTATTTGGGCCAGTCTCTGTTGTTTGGTACCTTTCATGGTCATCTGTTTAGTTCATTGGTATCCTGCCCTTCCTCCTAAGATCTCAGAACAGTGCCCACGGTTTTCCTTTTCCCCATGGTGTCTTCACAACACCCCTGTGAGGTAGGTTAGTGTGAGAAAGTGGACTAGCCTGAGGTCGCCTGGCAAGTTCCATGGCTGAGTAGGGATCTGAACTCAGGTCTCCCAAATCCTAGTCTGATACACTGACTCTTTGACGCTATCTAATCACTCTAATCACACTCTATAATCTAGCTCTATAAGACTGGTAAAAACTCCCTTCGGGAAAGATATGGGGGGGGGGAAAATCTCTTTTAAAAACATTTCACAGATGCCCGCACAACTGTGGGAGTTCTACACCATTTAGTCCCCACCCCCACCCCATCTCTGAATAGGCTTGGGATTTGGAACACCAGGCAACAGCCGTGAGGCTGATTCACTGCCACAGGAGGTGGTGGCGGCTACATGCATGGAGGGCTTCAAGAGGGAATCAGATAAGCATATGGAGCAGAGGGCCATCAGTGGCTATTAGCCACAAGGTATGGATAGGAACTCTCAGGCTGGGGCAAGTGATGCTCTGTATTCTTGGTGCTTGGGGCGGGGCAGTGGGAGGGCTTCTAGTGTCCTGGCCCCACTGGTGGACCTCCTGATGGCACCTGGTATTTTTGGCCACTGTGTGACAGAGTGTTGGACTGGATGGGCCATTGGCCTGATTCAACATTGGCTTCTCTTATGTTCTTATGAGACCAGTCACTGAGCCTCAGTCCTGCCTCTTTCTCACAGGTTGCCTTTTAAAGCCTGAACTGACCCGTAGGCATGAGCTGGGGAAGGCCAAAGATATCGTAGCCTTTGACTCCGAGCCTGCAACTGCCGATGGGGGGGGGGGTCTGCCCTGCAATTAGTGGTCTCCCCTCCCCATGCTTTGAACCTCCATTGGGGAGAAAAGTACCATATAAATCCTACAACGACAATCATAATCATACCAATAGAGGTGATATGGGGAGGGAGGAGTTGTGTCTGGACTTGAAATGGTCACACAGATGCTAGTGTTTGCTTGCCTCTCATCTCCAGCCCCTGTACTGTTCACAGACGCTTGCTGGACATGATTGCTAGTAAGCAGGGGTCATTTCGTAGAAAAAGAGGTGCAGGAGCTCATTAGCATAACTCATTAGCATAACTTATTTGCATATGCCACACCCCCTGACATCACCAGAAGTGTGTCAGAAGGTAACACTCACCGCTCAGGCTCCACTGGACTGTTTTGGATTGCTAGCTATTGGGGGGGGGGCGTGCAGATCTGTCCTCTCAGAGGAGGGAGAGCTTGTACCTGAATAAAACTTGGTCTTAAAGGTGCCACTGGACTGTTTTGGACTGGGTGGGGGGGCTCTGCAACTTACCTGGCTGCTTCTTGCTCTGACTGAGGGCTGCTGGGAGCAGGGGGTCGGGCTTGTTGAATGTGCCCACCCCATGGGCTCTTTACTGCCGGAGCTCTGCTCCTGTGCGCTCCTGCAGGAAATGACCCCTGCTAGTAAGTACAACCAAATCTATCATGATAGCAGTGGACAGTGGCTTGTGTTTTCTTCAAGCTCAAGATTCAGGTCAATTTCCCGAGGCACCCTTTCTTCACAAGCTAGTGCGAGACAGCCAGTTGCACAGTGAATTGATGTGAGGTACCAGTAGCATTGAAGAACTGTCAGCAGTCTGTAGTGGGGGTGGGGGTTGAACCTTGTCAGGAGGATGTCACAAGTTTATAAGGCTAGTGGCCAGAACAGACAGGTTGAAGATCATGGATGTCTGCCAATCTGTCAAAAAATAAATTATGTGTTTGTATAGCCATGACAAGGGTCAGGACCAACATTTCAGCCCCTTACTCAATTTTGTTAATCAGATCTGGGATCCCTGCACTGTTATTAGCTTTCTTTGAAAACCCCATCTTCTGGGGTTATGGCGTGTGGAACATGGTGCCTCTTAGCAAAACTGAGCAGGGATCAGAGGTCTACATCCCTTGGCCACTTCTATCTTGGCTGTGTGTGTGTGCAGACAGAGGTCCCTGTTCTTCTGCATGTTTGCTTTGGCTCTGAGGGGGTCCCTGTTTTTGTCTGCCAAATGTCAGAACGTGTGCCTCATGTGTCATAGGTTTGAACTCAGAAGAGGCTGTAGGTCAGGTTTAGTGGTAGAGCATCAGTTTTGTGTGCAGAAAGTCCCAGGTTCAATCCACAGCATTTCCAATTAAAAGGATCAGGTAGGAGATGGTGTGAAAGATCTCTGCTTTGAGACCCTCAAGAGATACTGACCTTTCAGACCAACGGTCTGATTCAGTATAAGGCAGCTTCATGTGTCCATGTTTGGATCTTACTACTGAAAATATGTTTGGAGGTTAATTCTTGTTTTGGTAGCTGCAAAAATAAAATAAACAAGGCCTGCTGGGGAAAAACTGAAAGGTGAAACCTATTCTGAAAAAGCAAGCAGGAAATGATTCTGATCAGC